TGTATTGTTGTATTACGTCTTTTGAAATGCGACGTTTAGAGTTTGATTTCGTTGTATATATGTTTAACATCTTACGCATGACATGTTCTGTTCTGCTTAACTCTGCTTAACTCATTCATTTTGACGTGTTTTTAACCAGTTACTATCACACAAATAAACGGTTATTGTTACTGATAAAGTAAAGTAGTTTTAAAGCTTGATATCGAAAACACATGGGAAAAAATGTGTAGATCAGTTGTGTTAATCTGCTTTGTAGCTGGATAAGGCATTTTATTCTAGCATACAATTAAAACGTCATATTAAAACATTTTCAAATGAGATTCAATAGAGTTTCGAAAATTTTACAAATTATTCCAAGATACCATTACTATTGGTTTACTGCGTTTCGTGATTGGTCTAGAAAATTCGCCGCCTCAACCAATCAAAATTCCAAAACTGAAACAAAGCGCGTCTTGGTCAATCGCGTTTTCCCGCGCTTCAGGCAATCAGCGTATTTCCTCTGTGAGTTCTCATTGGCACCCTGTGGTATTTTACTTTGCTGTGATTGGTTGTTGTGGGTACTTTGTTTTGGTTTAACGGAACTCAAAAATCTTTCACAAAGAATTGTCAAGTATGAGCATTGGTTTAGCGTCACTGCATTTTGGTTGGCTAAAAAATCCTGCGCCTTCTTCTGAACTAGCCAAATACAAAACGAACACCAATCATTAGTTAATGACCTCAATCATTCATTGTTTCCAGCGTTTTAGTTTGGATGATGAGTACTAATTAATTCTTTAGAATACCAACCTCCGTTCTATTCAATAAATCGACAGTGGTTTAACGTGGTTTTTATCCTTATCCACAACCATATTCGTCATCACAGTGGTCAAAATCTTGACTACAGACCACGCAATACCACTCACAACTGATATTTTAACAAAATATCGACGTCAAGTAAACATATTCCTTCAGCAAGTGATGCGTTGCGTGACACGTTGACGTGAGCAGTGTTCAGGTTGTACTCTAATCGCTGACGGCGAACGGCAAATTGGCCAATCAGATTGCGACATTACTGTCAATTTTGGTAAAATTGTTTGTCTCATTGGCTCAATCAAGTCAACTCAATTAAGTCATCTCTAGCCTGCCACTTTTGCCTTTGAACTTTCCGTCCTAATTATAAGGCGAGAATAATATCTTACAAAGTAAACGATTTTGCAGACCTAAGAAGAGCCGCAGAGGTTAAACCACAATAATAATTTTATCGCTCCACGACTGTCATTTATTTTTTTGGGCCAGAAAAGTTATTACATCCGGCATGGGTTCGTTTAGTTCGAAGGTGTTAGCCTCCCGTGACAACAGAAGCAGTCGCCAAAGGTTTGAAACTGAAGAAAATGGTGGTGAAATGGGAGAGGGAAGAACCGAGCAACAAGATGAAATGGCGAAGGAGGATAACCAAGAATGCCCTTCCACCAGTCGTCAGGAGAACTCCCCGCCACCGAGAGTGCGGCAGTCATTTTCATGGTTAGTGGACACACCAGTGATTTTGACGACCACTGGCAAAGAGCAGAAAGCAAAAGGGAAAAAATGCACGGAAGGGAAAGAAAAAGCAAACTACGTTTTGAAATACAACAATGGAAACTATCTCAAATCTTTTGAGCACTTCACGGACGTTCCTTCGTCGAAAACGTCCAGCGCACGACAACCAAAGCTGCTAGAACCACGGGCGCCTACAGGAAAACAAATGAATGTTGAACGCTCGAGGCACGAGAAAAATAAATAAATTAAAGAGACATTGAAAGAAAACCAGGCAAATGCAAGCTTTACAATAAAAAGTGTCTTCCCGCCATCAACGAGTGCAGGCTATCGTTTTGGGTTTGGAGTTGAGCTCGTTCAACTGGCGTTGACGATGGAAAAATTTTCAGAGAAGTGTCATAAGGCCTTTAGGAAACAGAAACCAAGGGGAAGTCCGAACGGCTCGATTTTTTATTTTATTTCTGGCTTGCAGTTTTGTGCTTTGCAATGGCCAATATCATTAACAACGATTTGTGCGGAAAATTTCTAACCATGTGCCATGATAATAGACCTTGAACGTGTCGACATAAGTGGACGAAAAAAATGGAAAAACAAGAAATTTCTTTTAACAGGTGAAAAAAATGTATTCTTAGACTTTCTATGATTTATGTGCGTAAAGCTTTCAGAAATTGATAGTGTTTTAGCTGAAAACGACTTCACTATAAATTATGTTGTGGCTAGCCAGTAGTATGAATAAAATGTTTAAAAACTTTTTTTCTTCGTGTTCTATCCAGCAAAATTGTATTTCGTACGTAGCGAACACCAAAGCGATTACGAAATTTCTCCTCAATTGTGCAAGCCAAGCTGTTTAAAAATAATTACAGTTTTCACTTCTAGCCAAATAAAAGTATAGTTTGTAGTGAATTCTAGAAGTTACGTCCTGGGACGTGAAAATATTTCAAGAACCACCAGACCATGCGAGCAAGTGTTCTTATTTCTCGAGGAAGCGCGTTAGGCTTATTTTTGGGCGAAGTAACAAGAGAGGCGAACGCCGTAACTCGACCGCCTTTAGTTCTTTTTTCCTCGACCACCGACTGATGTGCTGCTACACTATTGCGCACCCCCGAAAAAGAGAGATCGCCTGATCACAAGTTAGGATCATGAGAATAACCTCAGGAAATGTGACAAATGAATGAATGGAGAAATGAACAAGAAAATGAAGAATCGAATCAAACAAATTAATCAATGAGTAAATAGTCAATGATTAACTGTTAAAGCAGACCTGGTGCATGAAGTTTAGGGATCGCATTTGTTTTTCTACCGTCAGTAAACGGATAATCTCATCTATATCCATTCCATGTTTCTTCCCTCTTCGTCGCCAAGCGATAATTTCCCTCTCCTTGGTCACAAAGCGTAGTCCGTCACGCAACTCATGTTGTGTTGCGTGACCAACAAAAAAAACGTGTGTGAACTAAGGCCCGGCAAGAACTTTTGCATGACCTTTCTGATCACTTGAATTTATCCAACTTCAATTTTTCGAAAATTTTCTAGAATATCCATCCATGCAAACGAGCTCAGTGGAGACAGGTGAGAAGAGATCAACTTTTCCTTAGCATTACATCGTCACCATGACCGAGCATTACTGGGTTTCCACTTTGCTGATGACACTTCCGGTTAAACTGCCATATATGGCATTATCCCGCGAAGTTTGTTTACCTCTGCGAGGGTTTAAAATCTGAAATTTAGCTCGTGGTTGCATCAGATCGTGTTTCTACAGTAAACGATCGAAAATGTCCCTGTTTCCTAAATGGCGTATGATTTTGCCAGCTGTGCATCGCATTAGGTGAGTATTTCAACAACTGGTAGATGAATTTTTGTCTTCGCTGTCACAAAATTTATTTGTTTGATCGCAGAAGCTTGCAGGTGCAATCAAAATTTCCAGACTCTTCACTTTACTTCTTTAGTCTAGTCTTGGTACATTCGCCGTTGAAAGAAATCTATGAAGAATCTAACTACTCAATGTTTTTCAAGTTATTGGGAAAGAGTTGACTGAATGGCGACGTTTGATACAGTTACACGTTTTGTCCAACTTTATTAGGCATGCTCCAGAAATTTGGCCTAGTTACGATAGATCGTTGTGGGAGTCATTCCATTCTCCTTTGTACAGAAAACCTGTACTCGGCACAAGTTACACATACATTGAATTCACTGAAAGTGGAGAGGGTGCAGCGAAAAAAGAAACCAAAGATGTAGGAGATGGTGGAAAGGAATCTGCAAAATCAGCTGAGAAATTTGTGGATGATCGTGAAAGTTTCAAAGTGTCCTTTGATGTTTCCAAGTTCAAGCCAGAAGAAATTACCATTCGCTCAGAAGATGGAGAGTTGTTGGTGGAAGGCAAGCAGGATGTGAAGAACGAAGAGGGTTATTCGACACGCCATTTTGTGCGCTCATACTCCCTTCCCAGGAATATCGACCGCGATTCATTTCAGTCACGCCTTTCCAAAGAGGGAATCTTAAGCATCGAGGCAAAAAAGCTACAAAAGCCAGAGGCCAAGGACAATTTTATCAAGATCGAGACAGAGGATTAATAATGGTGAAGAAGAAAGCATGCTTCGTTTCGTAGGACAAACAAAATTAGCAGGAGGTTTAATCAAGGATGCCCTTATACTTCGTTAGCTTTCAAAAATAGGTGTAAACTGTGTTCGCTTTTCATTTTTATCCAGCCTTACCTCAGAGACGCAAACTTCTTCTTCGGATTTTTGATCATCAAATGTTTGGATGGTTTTGAATAAACTGGCAAAGAATCATTTAGGCGAAAGGTTTGAAAAGTGCTGACTCGTCTGGAATGCCAATTAGGGGCGGGGTAGGGTGTAGCTGTAACTGCTTGATAATTGGCCCCAATAACTGTCAAATAAGTGTAATGGTACATGTGAACTCAACGGCCTCACGCATTTTCTTGAGAGGTACTGTTCAATCTGCAAACAGGTTTGTTGACAAACCTCAAACATATTCAAGTGGAAGTATTTACCTTGATCAATGACACCAAATTCTCTTAACTAATCTGCAAGGAAATGTATAGCAGCTGGGGTGGAGAATTAACAATCAGATCTTTGAAGTTAAAAGTGTAAATTAACTCAAAACACTTACTTGAACTCCTTCTTGGAGGAGGCTGCATTGTATGTTAACATGGCATACTTCCCTTTTCTTAAATACTAAATACATAGCTGGATGTTTGGTGAAACAGAAAACTGAACATTAGATATCTAAAATCGCCCCATTTTCAAGAGTCTTTCATAATTAATCTCCTAAATGTAAACTCTAAAACTCCTTTTGGATGTCTACACATTTGTCAGATAGTGGTGAGAATTTGATTTTATCTCCAAAAGGGATATGTGTAAACCTTGGTTTAGATATTACCTTCATTCTTTTCAATTCACATTACATAACTGAAAGGAGAATTTCAGGGTTTATTACACCCATTTTGAAATCACTGGTGGTCCCTGTAATCTGATTGGCACTAATTGGTGCAATTTATTATTGAATTACACCATTTTTTGTTTTAAATCACATCTTTTTCCCAGCCAATGAGGAGGCTACACTAAAAACAAAACAACCAATCAGATTTCAAGGTTTATTGAAAATAACTAATCCAATTGCAGGAAAATGAAAGACAATGAGTATCATGAGGCAAATTTTGCAACTTTTGTTTCCAAAAGTCTTATTTTTCCCCCCCAAAAATGGATGAATTTAATTTCAAACCAGCTCAGTACTGCATTGAACTGACCAAGTCCTGTACTTTGGCGATTTCAAAATGGATGTAATAAAGTGGTAACTGAATCTTGTGTTAGGCAGTTTTGGTCTGAAATCATACTTATGGTTTCAAATCAAACTCATGCTACGCCCTCGTTCGATTTTGAAATCATGCATGTGATTTCAACCCATATTGCACTTCACTCAGTTCAATTACCATTATAAATCACTCTTAAATCAGAGCAGATTACACAAGTAATTCTGAAGAACTGATATTCTTTCTGAAGCAGTGAAAGCAAACAATGATCAAGAAAGATGACTTCATCTCCATCATTTTAATTTCATTTGAAAAGCTTGAGAAGCAAGAGTTGAAAGCATGCATGTTTGGAAGATGCACATATGCTACTTGCATATGCATGCCTGATATGGTGAAAAACTCATTCTGTCCTTTCTTGTAGTCCACTTTATTGGCTGATATTGGATTACATTCAACACTCATCATTTGTAGTTATAAATTAAAATTGTCTGTTTATCACAGTGTTCACCTTGATGCCTGAAAATTACTTTTTCTTACATCTTGACCCTTGTAATAATAACCTTTTATAAATAAAAATTAGTCCTCAGCTATTTAAATTTAAATAAATATAACAAGCAACCCACAAAAATCCTGAATATCAACAATTTGGTAGTCATTGCAAACTTGTGCATTTAACCAAATGGTGTATCTTAGAAACCTATAAGTTCCATGAAAAGTTCACCCAGATATCCTTAAATAACATTGCTAAGAGTCTGGAATCAAGGTGTTGCCTGCCTTCTTTTCCAAATGGTGGCATGTGCTACAGACCACTGGTTTTCACAAGCATTTTCTCTGATGAGGAAAGGCATTAGCTTATCTTCAATCAGCTCAAAATCTGGACCCAGGTAACTCTTCAAATTGTCAAATCCTGTGACAATCTTTCCATCTGCATCTTTATAGCCACCAAGCCAAAGACTCTATACTCACAAAAAAAGAAAAAAGTCGACGTATCAAGATACCTGTGCTCAGTCATGTTCAGGGTTGTAATTAGAAGTCAGTAGTTTGAGTAAACCTGCCAGCTGAAGCTATCAGACCATTTTGCACTGGCTCAAAGGCAGAAAATAAGTACTATCTGAACTAATTCTAACATCAATATCTGGCTGAAAAATAAGTTACTCAAATATTATCCTGAATGCTTGAAATCACATTCCCCAGACCCTCCTAGGAGGGCATGTTGCCGAGCAACATGCCATCTTTACTATGCAAGCATCATTCAATTCAGCCACCCTCAGTTCAGTGCATTTTGTAATGACAATCCTGGTTTGTAATCATTCATCCTTCCCATAATGTTATTATTTGACTACAAAGAGCTAGTTTTGATGTTTCTACAATACATTATGGTTGCAATGTCACAGAAATAATCTACCAGCAGAATTCTCAACAAACCAGCTCCATTACATTCTTTTTCAAGAAAGGACAAAAAAAGGAAATTTGACTTATGTTTTTTGGCAACAAAGTAATGATGACCACACTTCTATAAGTGCTTCTGAATCACACTTTGAACTCAAAA